GTCGCAAGTCCATCACAGGGACACATAGAGACAAACGAGACAAACAACCATTCACTCTCTCACTCACACCTAGGGACAATTTAGAGTTACCAATCAGCCTAACATGCATGTTTTTGGACTGTGGGAGGAAACTGGAGTACCCGGAGAAAACCCACGCATGCACGGAGAGAACATGCAAACTCCACCCAGAAAGGCCCCTGGACCGGGGTTTGAACCAAGGACCTGCTCGCTGAGAGGCAGCAGCTCTACCAGTTGCGCCACATGGTAGAGCTGCTGTATATATATATATATATATATATGAAAAAAATATATATATATGAAAACTGTGAACCGTTTTTGAGAAGAAGTGCATTTTTTCTTATGTATTTATAATATTTTATTGATAGGGCTGTAAAACATTTCCCACAAATATCATTTAAATAAAAATAAAAAAACTTAATCTGACCCTTAAATTTGGCAATCACCTTTGATGAAAAAGTGATTGCATCAATTTTTTATTTTATATTGATTGTTGTATATCATAAACTATTTTTTAATCTTTTATTTTAATAAAATCCACACTTTCTTGTTGGTATTTGTGTTGGAGTCAGAGGGACCTGCTGCTGTTCATAGAAACTAGTCAGACAAAGTAATATATAAAATATTAGCGCTGGCGACGAGGCAAGAATGTTAATGATGACTGAATGAGTCGAGGCCTCTTTATTTACTTTGAACACAGCTCTGAGCCTTTTATTTATTTGGCTATTCAAAAACGACCGGGTGGCAGACATATTCAAAGAATCTTTTAAAACGTAACTTTTTTTTATTTTTTTACGCTTTACATTTCTGAACAAGTTTCATTCTGAAATCACTCAGTGAATAAACACTTCTGAAGGTCATCTTTGAATTGAAGGAAAAACGTTCAAACCAAAGGTCACAGGTTAGAAATGAGAATTTTGTCCTTAGAATTATACAAATGATACGGAGTGTGTCTAAAATAAAATTACATATTTTGACACTTCATCTTATAATGCGATGATCGTTTTCCAACTGTATTTAAAGTTAAACTGAAGAAAGTTTCTGAGCCTAAAACGACTTGATGTGAAAACAAAAAGCAGCAGAAAATGAGGAAAACAAAAATCTGGAGGCGTCTCTCATTGATCTGCAGCGCACAGTTAAATTCATTGCTGTTAATTGTAAAAGGCCTTTGGGCAGGATATCCTGGCCTGTCATTTTTCACATGACATGGTAAAAGGGGGGGAAACATGGGGGTGGGGGTAGTGTTTGATTTGTTTTGCCGGCGGTAACTTTCCGCTTGTGGGCAAGACAGGCCCTGCAGCGCTCTGTCAGGTGCCAGAAGGTCCAGTGGGCAACTCCTGCCACATCCAGGAAAGACCTCCCACACAGAAATCTGACACATCTACACACAGCATAATCCCTTATGAGCTCATTGTGTCTTTAGCTTTACCAGTTATGTAAATGGAAGCATATATTTACTGTTAGAAAAGCAAAGAAGCAGAAACAAGAGTTTTGCCCTCCCATTTCCGAGGTGCAGTGAATACAATTTGATATTTAGGTTAGGTAATGATCAAAAAGAGATGAGAAATCCTAATAATTACTATTTCAGCTGAGTTTGCACCAGTCAGCTGCTAACCTGAACAGTTTACAGAATTAGAAAATTTCAAACACAAAAAATGATGTTTGTTTTAAAAAACATGTTTTTAATAGGCTTGCTGTGAGGGAAGCAAGAAGAGAAAGGAGTTTGTGTGTGTTTACCATGCTGCTCACAGTCGGCTGTAATCTACAGACAGTTCAAGAGAGTTCAATTACATATGAGTTATCTCTACTTTATTATGTTGGTGTCTTTTCATATCTGCTAAACATCATTTTATTAAGTGTGAGCACTACTTTAAAAACCTTTAAACACTGCTCATTGCATAATTATAAAAATTATTTTACTTGTTCATATATATATATATATATATATATATAGTTCAAGTTCAAGTCAATTTTATTGTCATTTCCATCACATGTGGTACATGAGGTGGAACGGAATTATGTACACAGTGTCCCAGTTACACCCAAAAATAGCAAAATATAAAGTATAAAAAGAGACATTAAACAAGGATCTAAGATATTCACAAAAATATATGCTAAACAAATACCAAATGTAACGCTAAAACATCTAAAATATACATTAATGATGTCAAACAATATGGCGTAACAGCAGCCCCAACATGAGTCTGTGGTGAGCAGATGGGTATGAATGAATACAGCAGCATGAGATAATCAGCACATATACACACACGATGTAGTGTTATAAAATTTCAGCCTCTGTGTTCCACATTAGAAAGGAAAGTGTCCAGTCATGTACATATGCTGCAGCAGCTGTGCGTCTTCAGTCTCTCTCCCAGCATTTATCTCACTGAAGACAAAAGGTTTGATTCATTAGAACATCACTCGCTGAAGCCAGCGAAGCGTGCCCATATCTGAACAGCTCCCACTGGCACGCTCGTCTTCTTCGCCTGCTAATAGTTGTCTTGTATCATACGCTTCACTGGGCTGACTAATATTTCCTTCACTTGAGCATTACTTTGAAGGCGGAAGATAACAGTAATGTTTGCCATGTGGAATGTTTGAATACATTTCAGATGCGCCGTGGCGTTCTCAGACAGCAGGAGTTACATAATGTTTTGAACGCTGACGCTGAAAAATCAAGTTGGGGGGCATCGTTGTTCTGCTATAATACAGTAAGAACGATATGCAGCAAACATGTGTCACTGCATTGTTATGAAATATTAAAATAAGAAGTGCTATAAACCTGCAAAAAAGTGACGAATGATCTTTATTTCTGAATTGCTGCTATTACAAAATGAACTCTTTTTTATTGTCTCACACAAATTGGTTTGATTTTTTTTTGATTGTCTCTCATTTATTAAGTTTTAATTAATCAATTACTTCAATTTCAAAAACCTCTAAAGAGCCATTAGTTGACGTTAGCACTACGAGCTGAGTTGCTTGTAAATTCCCGTCTGCATCTCTCCCTCCACTTTTTATTTTCCTCCCGAGCTGTCTCCATCCTTCTAGCTCTGATTTGTCTTCCATCAGCCTCTCAGTACCTGTGGTGGGAAGCCAGGGAGCTGTGCCATTACTTATGCATAGGTATCATAGGTATTCATGTGTGTGCATGGGATAGGGCGCATCTAGAGCAGGGGCCGGGGCCCCGACATGACAAACAGGGTGTCAGCAAGGCTCCGCGGGACCCATTAATATGCCAGCAGCCGACAGGGATCCTCACCTACGCACGCTTAATATTCCTGTATATTAAACAACCATAAATCAGAGGATATAAGCACTGTGGGCTGTTCGTGTGCGTCTCTGTGTGTGAAAGAGATGTGTTTGTGCTATGTGTAGGTGTTTGCAGCAAAAAACGGTGTTGTTATAAAATTGCATTTTGTATGTGCGCTTATCTGTACATGTGTGAGATGTACAGGAGCATTTTTAGGGAACAGGGAAGGGGTTTGTTTGGGTCAGCTTGGGAATTTATGTATGTTGTGTATGTAAAGGTGCATGTCTGTGTGAGCGTGCGCTCAGATAGTAGCTCAAAGTGCGTGGCAGAATCACTCGCTTAGCCTCACTTTAGCCCCAAATCCTCACTGCTGACATATGTGATGTCACACTGTAGCTTGTTTCTTTAGCATTCAGTGGCTCTGATTCTTTAAAAAAAATGTTGCTTCAAGGAATAAATCGTTGTCTCCTTTAACATTGACTTTATATTATAATTCTGTTCTTTTTTTCCATGTTAATGTTTTTCTTTTTATGCAGCCCCTGTCAATCAAAAAAAAAAAACATATGTTCCTTTTTTTACGCTGATGACGTTTGAGTTTCTGTGACTTAATCCTGTCAACCATTCTGTTACTTTTGCTTATATAAAACAACAAATAAACAACAGTCTTGGTGCCACTGCAAGCTATTTCCACCGAGTCTGGACTCTTAGCTCTTTCCAGGCTTTAAGAATTTTTATTTTTTCTAATATGCTTTATTACATTTTAAACTAGAATATATTTATTCTTAGTGTAATATTAAAAATATACTCCTATTTTTTCATCATATACCTCAATTGCTGCATTAATTCCTTTTTATTCAGACATGTCCCTCTCCCCCTCCCCCTTGATATTAATCCATGTTACATGAATGCAAATCACCTTGTTTAATTAGAGACAAAAATGTGTGTGTGTGGGTGTGTGTGTAGTGTAAGACCTACACCCACCACCACCCCACCCCCTGATTCTGGTATTCATGATGTGCTGTGGGTCTCTGGGTCCGAGGCAGGCAAGAACGGCAGTCAGGGCCTAATTCTGTTTTCCCAGTAGGGCCAACTATTAGTTTCTCAGCTCATTAATTACGCTGTTGTGGAGCATCATTAATAGTTAAAGTAGCCCCACAATAATGTATAATGGATATATTTCACAGAGCTTCTGATTTCATCTTTTTTTATTTTAATTTTGATGTGTGGTCAATTTTTGTAATGGTTTCTGAGCCTGAGTGAGTTAAAGTTATATTAAGCTGACATCAAAGATGCTGGGGGAAAAAAAGATGGTGGGTGTAAAACCACCATTTTTAAATAGCATGCTGATTGTCCGGCATGATCTCATCTCTGATCAGGAGTGTGTGATGATCTGAATGTTCGACACTTTGCGCTTTTGTGCGCTTTCTGCTCAGGAGAGTGTATGAGAGATAAGTGTGTGTGTGTGTGTGCACTCTTGGCTGAACTCGCTCAGATCAGTGACAGGCACTTTTTGTGAAAGAGGTCATTAAAATCCCTCCCAAGGCAGCTTGGTGTGTGTGTGTGTGTGTATGTGTGTGTGTGCATATATATCTTTGTATGAGCGTCTGCCCATCGCTTGCCTCCGAACCTAAATCCCCCACCATTACTTCTCCACACCCCCACTTCAGTTTCACTCTTCTGTTCTTCCATTCACCCATCAAGACATCAGATGTGAGCGGAGTTATCTGACTGTTTGTGAACTGTCTGTACATTTTGTGCACATTCAGTTGTGTTTCTTTAACTGATGGGATCCTTTACCAAATTTAATAAGGCAATATTTTTTGAATATTGGTATTAGTGGGTTTTTTTTTCCTGCTCCAGTCTGTCCCACAAGTCTGTTGGCTTTTTGTACACTGGGGCTCTGCGAGCCTTGTCAGAATAAGAGTTAATTAAGTATGAATAATTAACAGCAGCACCCCCCAACTGAGAGTCAGCAGAGCAGCTTCCCTGTGGCAGCAGTCGGACAGATCACACACGGACCTCGTTGCGGTCCACCGTGTGCCCAGTTTGTTCATTAGAAATACCCACAGCCCAGACTCGTTGTGATCCTCACCACAGGATCCTACGCTGAGGGGGGTGGCAGGGAGCATTAGGGGTATGTTTGTTTCATCAGTGAAACAGAATCATGACTGGATTATTGTCAGGCTGTTCAGTATTTGGTTTTCGCAGAGAAGTGTTGGCAAATTGACAGAGACATTTTGCACGTTTTCAAAAGTTGCACAATCAGACAGGACATATGTTTTGAAACGAAAATTACATTTTTGTTGTTGTTGTTGAAGTTTCCACCAGTAACTCACTTCTAAGAGGCAGACATAAAAAAGCCAGTTGTACTATGATCACTTTGCGGTGTAGTTCATACAAGTCTGAGTCTCTAGTCAATGAGTAACGATACTATCACTTAGCTCTGTGGGCTTTGATAGTCAACAGGTAACGTCAAGTGTAGTCATTGTAAAACCTTTGCTCCACATACAAAATACTAACAGAGAAGTTTCCTCAAAGATCATGTGCATAGTTGTTGTAATGCATTAACAAGTTTATTCAAGCTTATATTTAGAATAAAATTCAAGGATTCAAGGTTCTTTATTGTCATTCGCACCACATGTGGCACATGAGGTGGAACAAAATTGTGTACACAGAGTCCCAGTTACATCCAACATAAGTATAAAATGTAAAATAAAAACTATAATAAGATCTAAGATATGAACTAAGAAAAACGTTAAACTAAAAATACACTAAGCACTAGTAGTATAAAAACAATATGCCGAACAGCAGCACGAACATGAGTCTGTGTGAGCAGATGAGTATGAATGAACACAACAACATGAAACAGATCAGCAGCAACATGAAACAGATCAGCAGCAACATGAAACAGATCAGCAGCAACATGAAACAGATCAGCAGCAACATGAAACAGATAAGCAGCAACATGAAACAGATCAGCAGCAACATGATGTGATTTTTCACTGTGATTATTCTGGTTAGAGATTCATGAGTCTAACAGCCTCAGGGTAGAAGCTGTTCCTCAGTCTAGTGGTTCTACACTTAATGCTTCTTAACCTTCTGCCTGAGGGGAGTGGGGCAAAAAGAGTGTGTGCTGGGTGAGTGGGGTCCTTCATGATGCAGGTAGCCCTCTTCCTGCATCTGGAGGTGTAGAGTTCTGTGATGGTGGGGAGGCTGACTCCAACAGTCTTCTGTGCAGCCGAAATGCAGATGTTTAATCTGTGACATTCTCTAAATATCACAGATTCTCTTTGACAAGCTTTATTTTGCACATTTACTGTTTTATCTTATTTTAATTTAAGCATGAATGAGTTATGATTAGAAATACATTAAATAATAGTTTTATTAAATAAACTCAAAACATAAATAATATTAAAATAAATTCTCTCCTCTTCCTTTTTTTGTTTGTTACCTGTCGTCTTTGTCAGCTGTGCGAGCAGATCGAATGCGTGGTGGTCGCAACAAGTTTGGCCCAATGTACAAACGTGATCGGGCCCTCAAGCAGCAAAAGAAAGCGCTGATCCGTGCGAACGGCCTGAAGATTGAAGCCATGAGCCAGGTGATGCAGGCTGTACCCACTGACCTCACTATCTCCTCAGCCATTCAGAACATCCACTCAGCAGCCTCCAAGGGCCTTCCATTGAGCCACCACGGTGGCCACCACACCAGTCACCATCACCATCACCACCACCACCACCATCATGCCACTGCTTTGCCACCTACAGACTATGACCGCAGCCCATTTGTTACTTCTCCGGTTAGTATGGCGATGCCGCCACACGCTGGCAGTCTGCAGGGCTACCAAGCGGCCTACGGACACTTCCAGAGCACACGTACCATCAAGTCAGAGTACCCAGACCCATACACCAGCTCGCCAGAGTCCATCATGGGTTATGCATATGTTGATGCCTACCAGACAGGCTCTCCACCCAGCTTCCCCCACCTGATTGTAGAGCTGCTAAAGTGTGAACCCGATGAGCCGCAGGTTCAGGCAAAGATACTAGCCTATCTACAGCAAGAGCAGGCCAGCCGGGCCAAGCATGAGAAGCTCAACACCTTTGGGCTGATGTGCAAGATGGCTGACCAAACACTCTTCTCTATTGTGGAGTGGGCACGCAGCAGCATCTTCTTCCGTGAACTTAAGGTAGGTGTGCATGGTTTGGTGCAGTGATACTACTGTTTGAGCATGAGGAAATATTAAAATTAATATGTTGATCGTTTTTTTTTACAAAACAGTTCACTAACTTTCTTCAATATCTCAGATCATTACCCCAAACAAACCATGCCAGTGTGTGTAAATAAAATTAAATACTTAATAACAAATATGGTTGCTTTCTGGTCAACGCCTCTGACGCCTTGTTAAAAATGCAGAAAATTAAACAAGAGACGTGTCATGTGGGCGAGGGCTGTGACTGTAGAGGCGACATGGCATCTTACATTAGTCTTAACCGCCATTGTTAAGACAGGTTCCAAATCTGAGCTCTGTTTGAGTCTAAATTAGGCAGCTATAACATTTCTAAATATGAAATGAAAATGGAAAAAAAATGCATGGACCTTATAAGCATTGTACATTTTTTAAACATTACTCAAAACTGGCCACACCATTTAAATGTTTTAATTTTTTTGAGAATGGTGTTCAAATACTCATAGTATACACATATTTTTTATTTATTTATTTGTCTCTGAATGAAGGTTAATGTTAGAGAGTTTTTTTGGAAAGTCTTTTGATTAGTCTGCACTCACCTATTTCCCTTCCCTATGTTTGATTTGTTTTTCTGTCTGTTAACAGCTCAGCTGTGTATTCATGGGCCTGTTGCAGCATCCCCTCCAAACACTGAGCGTAATTTTGCAAATAACTGAAAAAAGCATCGTAGTAAAAACAGAGCCAATTACAACAGCGATAAGTATCCTTAAAAACACATGTTGACATTTAGCACACAATGTGTCCCTACTATTAACCTTTTTGAGATCAGTATTTGCATTTTCCATAAATGCAAAATACACACACACAAAGCCTCGCTGAAGGGTGTGGCTACAGCTAATAATTGCATGTGGTTTGCTCATTAATTTTGAATGATCATTTCTGCTCCATTGTGAAGCCTCTCTATTTCTCACACCCTCGGTCTAATTCAATTATCTCACCGACTGCAGTTTGTCACTCCCTGATTTGCTGCTGAATGAGCTGTCATTATGTTTGTCTAATGACAGTCCATATTACGCTATCTTCATGGTAATTAAGACGAGTGCCTGTTACAAAGGTACAAAACGTCCTGGGCTCAGTGCAGAAGAAAGCTTTCCACTGTTGCATGGGCCCCATTGCTTCCTGGGTAATGTTAAACTGACAGATAATTGAACTCGTCTATCTCCCCCGCAACAAGCACACACAGACACAAGTACACACACTCAATTTAAAACCACATCTAAAGCACAAGTGGTATTAATAAAACATACACGAGCTATGATTTTCCCACATGTTCAACTGTGTTCTTTGCTGATAAAGATGACCATTCACTGTGGTGAAAACAACATTTAATCACTACACAAGCAAACCTATCTGTTAACTGATCAGCTGATACGATTTTAGATGAAAACTGAGTTTTAAGTCATTGTAAAGACATGAATTTCAGTGCAGCTTATTCCATAAATTGAGTAGAATTCTAACATGTATAATATTTTGTAGCACGCACTGTTTGTGTTTGTAAGCATTGTTATCTATATTTTTGCCAGTTTTATGACTTTTTCAGACCAAAATATCTGCAAAACCAGTTAAAAAAAAAAAAAAAAGGCATTTTGGAATGTCTCCGCACACATATGTGTGTGTTCATCTGAGTCTACACAATATACCGTATTTTCTGGACTATAAGTCGCTCCGGAGTATAAGTCGCACCAATCAAAAAATGCCTCACAAAGAGGACATAAGAATATATAAGTCGGAGTATAAGTCACATTTATTTAGAAGTGTATTTAACAAAGTGCAGGAACACACATTTAATCTGAAATAACAATAACACACAGAACGTACCTGGGATCCTGAACATGTTTAATTAACATAACAAGCCAATGAGGCCGACAAGCAAGTTACCAGTAAATTCACTGATCTCATTCAACATCACTTTTGGGGGCATTTTACTTGTGTTAATTTTTTCTCAGTTGTCTATAAGTGAAGTTTTGGGAATTGGGGGGGGGGAGGGGGGTAGCAGTAGAAGAACAACATATAGTTGTCAAAAACCTTGAGGGCATACTCACGAATGCAAATGGTAATGTTTACTCTTTGGTTCATGCCAGTATGAATAAACATTTGACACGTTAGTCAAAAATTTAATCATGAATAGGGAAAAAAAGTTTATAAGTCGCTTCAGACTATAAGTCACAGGACTGGCCAAACTATGAAAAAAAGTGTGACTTATAGTCCGGAAAATATGGTAAATAAACTGGCAATGGTAAGAAGTTGATTTAAATATGCTTTGAATGCTGCTTCAGAATAAATAACGATAAATGTTGACTGTTCAGTAAAATTACTACTGGATCAAGTCAAATACATTGTATCTGTGAATCCATCTAACTTGACATCTTCTGCTAATACTGTTCTGATCATTACAGGTGAGGTTGAGTCTTAAACCAGAAAGACAGGAAGCAGGGCTAAATGAAAAGTTTATTACAAGGATGATGTGACACTGTAGGAAGTTATAAATACACTTTCAACACACACTTTCATACACACATACCCAGTTTAAGACACAGACACCACTCACACACAACATGCAGACCCTCTCTCTATTATTAGCTCAGTAAGAACAAAAGAATCTCTCTTGTTCTGGAGCCAAGCTGGAAGGGTGTGTGTTAGGCATCTGCCAAAAAAAAAAAGGTTTAAAGATTTAGTTTCCATAAGTTGGCTTCGGTCACAATGCATAAATATCTTACCATTAGGAGAAGTTTAAAGCACGCTCGCCAGTCTCTTCCAGTGCAGCGTGCAAGTCTCTGTCTCCCCGTCTTTTCTTCTGGGAATGAGACATGACGTGAGGGACATTTATTTCTAACACCTTGGATCCATGAAGTTAGCGTTTGCTCTTTATGCCAACTCTGCCTTGGTTTTGATTGGTTTCATACGGCGACACAGTGAGGCAGCTCTGGGTTACTGGTTTTCAAATTACAGACATGTTGAGAAGATATTTTAGCAGGCTTAAAACCACAGTCACCTTTTGTAAATTAAATACTAAATGTACAAGAGGCAGGTGCATGCTCGTTGCACGACTGATACAATTGTACATATGCACTGTTAAAATTACATGGACTGTACATTTGTCTTTATATTAAAGTTAAAATAATTTTGTAATATGCCTTTTTAAATTTTTTTTTATTAAGATTGGATACATTTATCTTGCATGTAAAATCTTGAGTCTTGGCTGACCCACCCCCCATAAATGTCATTATAGTTTCCCTAAAAGAAACAGCAGGAGTGTTTTTAGAATAGTGTGACGTTTAATGAATGTCAATAACGTCATGGCTAAAATATACATTTCACAGATGGTTGTGTTTGATCTAAGATGACGAGAATCAATTCCAGGAGCTGTATATATTATTATTGTACGTTTGGCAGTGTGACTGTATTTTAAAATAGGCGCAGACCAATAAAAAAAAAAGACTATTCGATTTTTAATTTATGCACATTTATCTGGCTAGTAAGTTATAGATTTTTTCATCTACAATACTGCAAATTGATATTGAGTTGGTCCTTCTTTTGGTTTTAAAAGAACTCTTTTGAATGTCACAGCATGAACTGCAAATGAAATAGGAAAGTCCTGAAGTCTAGTATGAAAAAGGATCCTAAAATCTGAGGTGTGTTTCTGTAGCTGGGGCTTGATTCACACAGAGGCCTTTAGGTTGTTATTATCGTGGGACTTTTGAGGCTGGGCGAGCATCTCAGACTATTTACTGTGTCTTTTTAACAAATCCTAAGGGACATTTATTACCATGTAGAGGAGCGCCATTAGTAAAAAACTATAGGTTAACGTGTGCATTTATGAGAATGCCAGGATTCACACTTCTCCAGCAAAACACTGCCTGATAAATTAAACAGTATTTTCCACTTTACTCATCTGTCTTGTGATTAATCAGTTTATATAAAACTATTTTAGTGCTTATTCTGGAAAGAGTCATTTTAATTGCATAAGTGTTCCCATTGTTTGTGCGTGTTCAAAGGAAGAGAAACAAATGTTTTTATTCTCTTGGGGACATTTGCTGGTACTCTGCCACCCACCCCCTTCCTTCATCCTCCCTCATGAATCCTGATGCTCATCATGCTTCCAGCTGCGATTCATGTACATGTTAAAGAATGTACTGCTCAAAAGATGCTTAAAGACTTTATACAAAGAGCTTCAAACAAAAGTTGGTGTTAATTTTTTTGTATAATTGTTTACCTCTTAAATATTTCAACTACAGGTTACATTGAGTCTTACACATATTTTCAAAACTTGTCAACATCTCCAATCATTTTAACAACATTTACTTTCAGAACTAAAAAACAAATAGAACCTGAAAATGCAGCCATGTTAAAAACTCTTCGTTCAGCCTTCCTGTTTGGCTGGGTACATATTTGTACTCAGTATGTGTGTGCACACGTCATGGTGACTCATACTGTGGCTGGTCCGGTGCTACCTCTCTTCTCCATTGTTTCAGACCAGGGATGGCTAGCCTGACTCCCAGCACAAACACAATGGAAGGGAGAACTTAGCAGGGCAATTGGGACTATTGATGATTCATGTGTTTATATCGCACCTTCCTTAACTCAACTCCCTTTACGCCAGAATCACCCCACCCTCTTTCCTTTCTGCACCATTTAATAAATAAAGGATGTGAGATTTCTGTTTGGACAACAAAAGCTTTGGTATACCTTGTCAACATAAAATATACAGCAATTAATATGAAAAACATCAGCTGACATGATTTTTTACAAAATTTTAAATTAAGCATTTTAGTATAGTAACATAATAAAAATTAAAATCTAAACAAAATATATTTGGATAAAAACATATTATCAGTCTTTATGTTATGTTCACTGAAAAGTGGTCAATATATTTTTAAATAACTATAAAAACTCCAAAACAATTTTTGAATTGCACATGTACTGTTCAGCAGTTCATTCAA